GCAATACCCCTGTGAAGAGCCCGGTGAAGACTGTCATGCAGTCCCCAGTAACCTCCGGTAGCGAGACCCCTGTGAGGAGCCCGGTGAAGACTGTCATGCTTGCAGTAGCCTCCGGTGGGAAGAGACCGGTCAAGAACCCTGTGAAGAGCCCAGTGAAGACTGTCATGCTTGCAGTAGCCTCCGGTGGAAAGAGACCGGTCAAGAACCCTGTGAAGAGCCCAGTGAAGACTGTCATATTACCAGTTTCCTCCGGTAGCGAGACCCCTGAGAAGAGCCCGGTGAAGACTGTCATGTTTGCAGTAGCCTCCGGTAGCGAGACCCCTGTGAAGACCCCGGTGAAGACTGTCATGTTTGCAGTAGCCTCCGGTAGCGAGACCCCTGTGAAGACCCCGGTGGAAACTGTCATGTTTGCAGTAGCCTCCGGTAGCGAGACCCCTGTGAAGACCCCGGTGGAAACTGTCATGTTTGCAGTAGCCTCCGGTAGCGAGACCCCTGTGAAGACCCCGGTGGAAACTGTCATGTTTGCAGTAGCCTCCGGTAGCGAGACCCCTGTGAAGACCCCGGTGGAAACTGTCATGTTTGCAGTAGCCTCCGGTAGCGAGACCCCTGTGAAGACCCCGGTGGAAACTGTCATGTTTGCAGTAGCCTCCGGTAGCGAGACCCCTGTGAAGACCCCGGTGGAAACTGTCATGTTTGCAGTAGCCTCCGGTAGCGAGACCCCTGTGAAGACCCCGGTGGAAACTGTCATGTTTGCAGTAGCCTCCGGTAGCGAGACCCCTGTGAAGACCCCGGTGGAAACTGTCATGTTTGCAGTAGCCTCCGGTAGCGAGACCCCTGTATGCCGGAAGACCCGTGCCTCTAAGCTGGCTAATGACTTGCCCTCTCCCTCAAATTACTGGTCCACTGGGTGTGGACGGGGGAATACCATGCGTGAAATCACGTTGCCTAGAAGCATGGAGGCGTACCTTCAGACATACTTGGATCACTGTTTGGGTGTCGCTCCGACAGTAAAACAGAAAGACAATGTTGTGTCGAAGATCAGCCGGATAAAGAACTTCATAGTATACATGGCCCATGGTGTTAACCGCCTGTCAGACTGGCTGTTCCTAAGAAACATGAAGATGATCCGTGGCTGGAGCGAGTATATTGTAAAGCCGGGCCGGGCAGTCACAACATCAGAGTTCTTCCTGAAGAATGTGCACCAGTTCATGGGGTACATGTCTGAGTCAAAGCCCCGGGGGTGCAAGCTCACCCAGTCTGATATGACCCACATAATGAGAGAGGTGAAAGCCAACATGAAACACTTGAATAAGGCAGTCACTCTACATCAGTTTAAGGTGAAGAGGAACAAACTGGATCGTCTGCCGAGCCAGGCGGAGCTTCTCGCCGCCATGGCGGCCGCTGAGAAGCGCATCCCGGAGCTCCTCGACCTGATGGCCGGCACGCCGACCTCAACCACCCAGAAGCTTCTCTATGGCTATCTCACCCTCCATTGGAGCCTCCTGTATGGCCACCGTACGGGCGTGTACGCAAACATGAAAAACAGTGAGGTCTTAGAGGCAGCCATAAGGGGAACTGCTGAGGGCTACATCATCCATGTGCAGGATCACAAGACGGCCAAGACATATGGCGAAGCACAGCTGGCGCTTACAGTAGAGGAGTTTAGCTGGGTCATGCGGTGGATGGGGATTAAAGAGGCATTGCTGGGTCCTCAGAATGAATTCTTCCTTTTCACAAGGGGGAATCGGGCCTCCAGGAACCTGAACGCTCACTTGAAGAGGGCATGGGCTGATGCTGGGCTAGAAACAGCCGTCACCTTCACAATCCTGCGCACTGCCCTGGCTGACAATATCAAGCATCACCAAGATCCAGAAAGCCGGTCGATTCTCGCCAGGTTTATGTGTCACGACGTAACCACGGCGGACCGGTTCTACGCGAATGCGCCAGGTATAAAGGAGGCATTGAGAATCCGCTCCATGTTCAGGGCGTCATCAGATGCGGCAGCAGCTGCATCATCATCAGAAGGATGTCTACCGCTGTCAGATGGGGAGACCTCCGAAGAGGGCTGCTATAACAGTACTGCTCTATCATCTTCACCTGATGGGTCATTGGAGCGGCAGCAGCAGCGGAAGCGGAAGCGGGAGGGAAAGAGGCCAATGAAGTCGGGACCGGGGCTGGTTGACACTCCTGATGATGGGGCAGGGGCCGTGGACTCAACCTGTTTGCCCTGGTGCACCGTAAGAATTAGACGCCTAATTTGGTCCCCTGAATCCCGCTAAACATTGTGAATATGTATACCGTGTATATAATTATTATTATAATCCTGTGTATACATTTTGTAAATAGTACAATATCTCCAGGGCGCATAACTGCACTTTACAAGCCAGGAAAGGTGCCAGAATCCTGGGCATACATTTTGTTAATAGTGCAACACCTCCAGGGCGCATAACTGCACTTTAAAACGTAGGTTAAGAAATTTAGTAGTACTGTTATAGCAGCAGTAGTACGTGTAAATAGTTTATGTTTTAGGCTCTGTGTACTGTGGTTTTTGTTAAAATAAAATAAAAAATAAAAAAAAAACAATAACCTTGATGGTTACCAGGGGCAGAAAAAGTGCCACTTTCCATCAGCACCGGGGAGGCACTCTCCTTGGTGCTGAACCCTGTGATGAGCGCTCAAGTGTTGGCGGAGGAGGTGTAAGCCAGAGGAGGGTGAACAAAAGTTAAAGTGTTTGAACCTCCAGCCCAGAAGGGGGGGTGATGCCGTGAAGAAGGCCGAATATGGATGCTGATGGGCGGACACAGAAGCACCATAAAACCACCCCCTTGTAAGACCACCAGGGGCACGAGAATACCCTCCACAGAAGGGGGGGTGATGCCGTGAAGAAGGCCGAATATGGATGCTGATGGGCGGACACAGAAGCACCATAAAACCACCCCCTTGTAAGACCACCAGGGGCACGAGAATACCCTCCAGCCCAGAAGGGGGGGTGATGCCGTGAAGAAGGCCGAATATGGATGCTGATGGGCGGACACAGAAGCACCATAAAACCACCCCCTTGTAAGGTCACCAGGGGCACGAGAATACCCTCCACAGAAGGGGGGGTGATGCCGTGAAGAAGGCCGAATATGGATGCTGATGGGCGGACACAGAAGCACCATAAAACCACCCCCTTGTAAGGTCACCAGGGGCACGAGGTTCTGGTGGGTGTGAATACCTGTGTTTAGTCCGTGGGGGAGTGCTTAACTGTGGGGGCCCGGGGACTCAGGGTGTGCAAGGTTATGGAGGTCCCACTGTTAGGGGCCCATGCTGGAGGTAATTAGTCCGTCCTTGGGGCTCTGTGAGCGGGCAAAAAGAGGTGATTTCCCCCTGGTCTCTGCTGGAGGTGCAGAGTCCCACTGTTAGGGGCCCATGCTGGAGGTAATTAGTCCGTCCTTCGGGGCTCTGTGAGCGGGCAATGAGAGGTGATTTTCCCGGTCTCCGCCCTGGAGGTGTGAAATAAACAGAGTCCCCCTGTTAGGGACTGGTGCTGGAGGTCTCTAGTCCGTCCTTCGGTGCTCTGTGAGCGGGCAGAGAGAGGTGATTTTCCCCTGGTCTCTGCTGGAGCTGTGAAAGAAACAGAGTCCCACTGTTATGGGGACATGCTGGAGGTAATTAGTCCGTCCTTGGGGCTCTGTGAGGGGGCAGAGAGAGGTGATTTCCCCCTGGTCTCTGCTGGAGGTGCAGAGTCCCACTGTTAGGGGCCCATGCCTGGAGGTAATTAGTCCGTCCTTGGGGCTCTGTGAGCGGGCAGAGAGAGGTGATTTTCCCCTGGTCTCTGCTGGAGCTGTGAAAGAAACAGAGTCCCACTGTTATGGGGACATGCTGGAGGTAATTAGTCCGTCCTTGGGGCTCTGTGAGGGGGCAGAGAGAGGTGATTTCCCCCTGGTCTCTGCTGGAGGTGCAGAGTCCCACTGTTAGGGGCCCATGCTGGAGGTAATTAGTCCGTCCTTGGGGCTCTGTGAGCGGGCAGAGAGAGGTGATTTTCCCCTGGTCTCTGCTGGAGCTGTGAAAGAAACAGAGTCCCACTGTTATGGGGACATGCTGGAGGTAATTAGTCCGTCCTTGGGGCTCTGTGAGGGGGCAGAGAGAGGTGATTTCCCCCTGGTCTCTGCTGGAGGTGCAGAGTCCCACTGTTAGGGGCCCATGCTGGAGGTAATTAGTCCGTCCTTGGGGCTCTGTGAGCGGGCAGAGAGAGGTGATTTTCCCCTGGTCTCTGCTGGAGCTGTGAAAGAAACAGAGTCCCACTGTTATGGGGACATGCTGGAGGTAATTAGTCCGTCCTTGGGGCTCTGTGAGGGGGCAGAGAGAGGTGATTTCCCCCTGGTCTCTGCTGGAGGTGCAGAGTCCCACTGTTAGGGGCCCATGCTGGAGGTAATTAGTCCGTCCTTCGGGGCTCTGTGAGCGGGCAATGAGAGGTGATTTTCCCGGTCTCCGCCCTGGAGGTGTGAAATAAACAGAGTCCCACTGTTAGGGACTGGTGCTGGAGGTCTCTAGTCCGTCCTTCGGGGCTCTGTGAGCGGGCAGAGAGAGGTGATTTCCCCCTGGTCTCTCCTGGAGGTGTGAAATAAACAGAGTGCTACATTTTGTAAATAGTGCAATATCTCCAGGGCGCATAACTGCACTTTACAAGCCAGAAATAATGTTTAAATGGTCGGGGAAAGTATTTTTAAATGTCTGGAAGAGAGTTTTAGACAGTCATTTTGCACGAAATCATTTAACATAGACGCTCTCCTGAAAATGCACAGAATATGTGCTTTTTCAGGAGACCGTCAATGTTAAATGATTTCGTGCAAAATGACTGGCTAAAACCCCGGAATAAGTGTTTGAAAGGCGGGGAAAAGTTGTTTAAAATAGTCTGATACCTCCAGGGCGCATCACCAAAAATGTACAAGCCAGGGAAGATGCCTGAATCCCGGATACTTTAGGTCTGTCACTTAGGGTGACCGCACCACTCCGACGCTCCCGAGAGCGGACGTCCATTGTTTGTAAGGCACCTAAGAGGGAGCAGAAATCACCATCTATGATGTATTATATGACAAATATAACTAGTTAAGCTACCCAGTAGTATGTCAAGTACTTTTAATAAACTATACATTGCAAATGGAAGTGATACACATTAAAACATCACTTATTATAATCATATATTATATTATTACATTCTGCATAATCAGTACTTTCAATTTAGGTATATTTGTATTATTAATCATATTTATATATTAGAGTATTTCTACATTGTAGTATTGCTACTTTTAATGAAGTACAATATCTCAGTACTTCCTTTAGTGCCTTGCTCAAGGGAACCACAGAGATACTTCATTTCAACACAACATGCACACTTTACTCCTTTGTTGAATCTTCTGCCTGTCTTATAATCACAGTTAAATGAAAATAATAAATATTACAAGCTATTATTTTATATTTAAACTCACGAGGTTTTTTGTCATCCGTTTTTTGTCCCCTGAAAAAAACCAAAAAGACAAACATGTTGACTTCAGCTTCAACGGTTTACTTTTTCTTTTCTCTTGAATCTATGAACCCTCACCTTTAGCTCTGGTCCAGATGAGGACTGTAACCACGGTGATGATGAGAGCTGCTAACCCCACAGGCACCATGATGAGCCACCACACAGCTAGAAAGAGAGAAGTCCCAAGTGTGAAATATAGTCAGAGGATTTTAGCTGTTAAATGTATTTCTTCTCTTCAGTCACTACCTGGTCCTTTTTCTTTGTTGTTGTTGTTTTCAGATGTCCATTCATGAATTGTTGGTGTTCCAGTTGTTGTAGCATCTCCTTAAGGAATAAAACAACATCATGCAAAAAACTGTAGTTGCAAAAATGTTTTCTCCATAAATCAAATGACAAAATGATGTGACGTCAAAACCTCAAATCCCAAAAGCATTATCTGTGATTAAATGTGTGATAAGTGATTTTAAACAACTCATTATATTCTAACCTGATTTCTCAATTAAGAGCTTCTCTTTTTTATCATAACCATCTGTCACTTCACATTTCAGAAACTCATTCAATCCCTGATAAATGTGAGATGTTGTAAATGTGTTGTTTCAATATATTCTTATAACAAGACTGTTAGAAGTGATTTGAAACAGCATAACATGTTCTCACCTGAGGACTGATCGCTGAAGAGAAACACCTGTACGTCTCCTGTGAGCTCATCAGTTACTTTACAAGTAAACAACTCAGACCTTGTTGTGTAACTAAAGAGAGAAGTCAGAAATGTCACAGAGGCAGAGCAGGAAGACTGTGATGTCTTTATCTCTCTGTGATCTTTATCCACATCTTGACCCTGAAGCAGCCACTTCGCTGTTTGATCACACCGTCCATATGTCGACACAGAGCAGTTTAACGTCACCTCATCATTGTCCTGATGTTCAGTCACTGCAGATGGAGATATTGTGAGAGAAAGACAACAAGATTAACATTAACTTCATCACTGTTATCATAATTATTGTAATGATTTAGTATATTGCTCTAAAGAGACAGTTTAAAACATTATGATGTAAATACTCACTGGTAACAACATGCAGATAAACCACAGAGGCTGAACCTTGTTGTACTCCTGATCTGAACTGGCTGCAGCCGTAAAGACCAGCATCCTCCTCTGTGACCTTCTTTATAACCAGAGAACAATTCTGTGTAACTCTCAGTCTGTCTGATTTAGCTTTGGCTTCTTTGTGAATCTGTCCATCTTTAAACAGCGTCACTCCTGAGCTTCTTGAATGTCTGAAGAGCCACTCAGTACTCTCACACTTATCCTGATCATCTATCACATTGTCAAAAGGCAAAGTGACTTCATCTCCAGGTCTGACAGTGAGGGAGTAACCTTTCAAATCTGCAGGTGTTGGGGAAAAAAAGCAGAAATAAATATAGACGTCATAAATGCTGACAGAATAATGATTTATTATATAAAAAGGTAAAGAGTTAGAGTTCTGGTTGATCTGTTTAATGAATCATTTAACGACACATTCAAACCAGAGTTAATTACAGATCCACATAACTAACTGAAGTGTTCATAGTGAGTGTGACGATCACTTTAAAGAGTATTGCTATGTGGGTTTTAGTGACCAAGAGTTCACTAAAGTCACCACGTTACAAACACAACTCATCATTCTCAGTTAAAGGAACAGTACGTAGTAAAGTACCGTTAGTGATATTAAAGCTGTTTTATTTCATGTAATTGGTAAATGGTAAATGGACTGTATTTATAAAGCGCTTCATCCAGTCTTTCACCCCCTCAAAGTGCTTTACATACAACAAGTCACCCATTCACACCCAATGCATACAGAGCAATGTGCCCCTTGCTCAATGAAGGGGTTAGAGCCATTTCCCTTTCATCATTATGGTTTGAATGTTTGTCTTATTACTAAAAGGCTTTAGAGGAAACTCTTAACTATCTATTTTTGTGAGTCACACTACGCTTTAAAAGATGTTAGTTTAAGTCTCACTTATTTGCTGTCGGATATGACGTGCATGTCTATATGTCTATATATGGCATGACATTGGTTCACAGCTGAGGGTGTCATTAGACAGGAAGCGGTAGAGTCTTTTGACCGTGTTCTTTCTGTTCTTTTTTGATACGGAGAACTTTTAGTTACTTTGAAGCGAGGAAGTTTGTCTTCATGTTTGTATGTCACCTTGATCAAAGAATAAACCTGATTTGATTCAACGCTACAACGATCTCTGCAAAGTTAGTTTGGAAGCAAAGAGAGGCGCGTCATAACCCACAACCCCGATATAGGAAAGTGGATATTAAATGTAGAAACTGATTCAAACTCCACGACAGAAGGTATCATTCACACACCGTTCCCCATTGGGAGCGACTTGGGGTTAAGCATCTTGCCCAAGGATACATCGATTTCAATTGAAAGACGCCCTCACTAGCTTTCATTAACAGTCGTAAACAGTGTGTGTTCTCTGCATCCTCACCTGGAAAGTGGAGCAGCAGCATCAGGAATGAAGACATCATGATCCTTCTGAATTCAGACATCGTGCTTCTCTCTCGGTCTCTGGCTCTCGACTGTCAGAGTCTCTCCCCTGCTGCTTCTTTAACTAGAACTCAGTACCGATGATAACAGCAGGTAAGCGACAGAAAAGGGGAAGTTGAACGTGGGAAGATGTTTTCTGGTTCCTCATTTCACCTCCAGTGTTTTTCTTCTGAGAACTGAAGGAGAAGTGTTTCGATGTGAAATGGGGTCACACCAGCAGCTCTGAAGGTATGACACCATAAAGAAAACCACAGGCACGTATTCAGCAGAGCAACAGAGGAATAATTCAGGCCGATATGAGACGGATCAGTTTGAGCTGACATCCAGTCACTGTGGAGGACCGAGCCAAACTTACATTGAGACACAATCTGGATGTTTATTTTAAGATGACTGCATTCCCAGGCCCTGTGTGGCTCAACACCAAGTGCAGTATGTGGAAAAGATTTGCCACTGTTTCCATCTTTGCTGAATCTGTTTATCTTATTGAAAAATACAGCATGCACTTGTCACCCTAGAGTGGCGTTGTCAAACTAAAGGCCCGGGGGCCGAATCCGGCCCGCGACTATATTTCATGTGGCCCTCAAGAGCTTGCAAAGAATATAATATGTTTATTATACGGTTGAATGCGGCTTTACAGAAGCACGTTGACCATAAACTACATGTCCCACAATGCATCCCATTTTGTGACACTGAAGAGACTTGCAATTTTTTGCCTCAGACTTCTGCTTTTCAGACGTAGTTAATTATGAAGTTATTACCCTATCCAATAATAATCCAATGCAGAGGCAATAATGTAATATAATACATTATTTTATATATATATGATGTATTTATATAAGTATTTATATATCGTCTTAAAGTTTTGAACTGGCTTTTAATACTAGTTGAACATAACATTTTGATATTTGTATGTGTTTTTATATGTTTCTAGTTATTGTGCTTTGTGTTATTGTTTTATTATTTTACTCCTGTTGTGTTATTTTATATTTGTTCCCTGTGCAGCACTTTGGTCAACTGAGGTTGTTTTAAATGTGCAATATAAATACATAAAGATTGAGATTGAAAGTTACGACCGGCCCTTTGAGTGCAACCATAATGCTGATGTGGCCCACGATGAAACTGAGTTTGACCCCCCCGCCCTAGAGGACTCGATGCAAAGGACAAACTGGCACAAATCCACGGCTCTACGTCTTCTACCTTCTTCTGGCCATCGCATTTTTGGCGAGACGTTGGAAGTAAAACGAGGTGAATGTAAAACGGGACATTCAATATATATATTCATGCTGTGTTGTTTATATTAATTGGCTAGTTTCTCTGAGTTATAGGTCAACATGATTTAAGGGGCGAGCAGATAAGAAGCACACACATTTGTGTAGAAAGTTTAGACACATTAAAGAGACTCTATTGTGCTTTTTGGGGAGTTTTCCCTCTCCTGTAGTTATATAGGTTTGTATTCATGTAACTGGTCTGCAAAGACTAACACCTCTGTGCTTTCCCCCCCCCCCCTTCCTGAAATGCCTCCATTAGACTCATTTGTTTACTTACTGAACACAGTGACATCACTATGTTACACTCATGCTTCTATTGGCTAGCCTCATTTGGATGATGCCTGATCAATATTTTCATGATGCGCACTGATCGGTGTATCAGCTCTTAGCAGCTTGGCAGGCTCCTCTCATCGGGGGCTTCATTATCTCGTCTCCCCGCGGATTTGCATCTTGGACAGAAACGTATGAATCCATTTGTGCCCTCACTCTGAATCCCTGCAGCCAACTTGGAAATGATGACGCCTACTCTGATTAAGTAAAAAGAAAATACTGGCATTAAAGTAAGAGTCATTATGGAAATATATTGAGCTTACTGACTATTCATGGGATCTGCCTGCAAACGAGGAGGATGTAGTGTCTCTACTTTAAAGAGTCCTCTCCTGCTGATGTTCAGGTGTATATCAGTATGTATTGTCTCTACTTTAAAGAGTCCTCTCCTGCTGATGTTCAGTTGTATATCCGTATGTAGTGTCTCTACTTTAAAGAGTCCTCTCCTGCTGATGTTCAGGTGTATATCAGTATGTAGTGTCTCTACATTAAAGAGTCCTCTCCTGCTGATGTTCAGGTGTATATCAGTAAGTAGTGTCTCTACTTTAAAGAGTCCTCTCCTGCTGATGTTCAGGTGTATATCAGTATGTAGTGTCTCTACTTTAAAGAGTCCTCTCCTGCTGATGTTCAGGTGTATATCAGTATGTATAGTCTCTACTTTAAAGAGTCATCTCCTGCTCATGTTCAGGTGTATATCAGTATGTGGTGTCTCTACTTTAAAGAGTCCTCTCCTGCTGATGTTCAGGTGTATATCAGTATGTAGTGTCTCTACTTTAAAGAGTCCTCTCCTGCTGATGTTCAGGTGTATATCAGTATGTAGTGTCTCTACTTTAAAGAGTCCTCTCCTGCTGATGTTCAGGTGTATATCAGTATGTAGTGTTTCTACTTTAAAGAGTCCTCTCCTGCTGATGTTCAGGTGTATATCAGTATGTAGAGTCTCTACTTTAAAGAGTCCTCTCCTGCTGATGTCCAGGTGTATATCAGTATGTAGTGTCTCTACTTTAAAGAGTCCTCTCCTGCTGATGTTCAGGTGTATATCAGTATGTAGTGTCTCTACTTTAAAGAGTCCTCTCCTGCTGATGTTCAGGTGTATATCAGTATGTAGTGTCTCTACTTTAAAGAGTCCTCTCCTGCTGATGTTCAGGTGTATATCAGTATGTAGTGTCTCTACTTTAAAGAGTCCTCTCCTGCAGATGTCCAGGTGTATATCAGTATGTAGTGTCTCTACTTTAAAGAGTCCTCTCCTGCTGATGTTCAGGTGTATAGCAATGTGTTGGAGCGCTAGCCAATAGGAGCGTGAGTATTCCATAGTGATGTCACCATGTTCAGGAAGTAAACAGAGGAGTCCAATGGAGGCGTTTCAGGCTTCTTACTTCAAAATCTAATGGAGAGTTCCCATTGGACCAGGGAGATGCTGCCTTCAGGGTCCACTATAGAAATATGTATTTTAACATTTAACTTTTATTTGATATATAATAACTGTTGCCGAAAATAAATGAAATTAAAAAAATGTTGGTTTCAAGTTGAAATGGATAGATCCTTCAGTAAGGCTTTTACTGATATCCAAGTAGAAAAATAGCTAAAAAAAGTCAAAACAAGAGACAATCTGACAACACAGAAGTTATTTTAATTAACGACATTATGTAATAAGCTTTGGAAAATACACATTTAGTAATACAAGTACAACTGCTGATAATGAAGTCTAAATTAGAATCTGACTGCTGTGTTACACAGAGCTGAACAAAGGAAATGACACACTGATGCATTTGTACGCCTATAGAGACTTCTGTGTGTGTGTGTGTGTGTGTGTGTGTGTGTGTTTGTGTGTGTGTATGTGTGTGTGTGTGTGTGTGTGTGTGTGTGTGTGTGTGTGTGTGTGTGTGTGTGTGAGAAAGGGATCTGGTTTGTGGGGTGGCATATCTAAAGCAACACCCAGAGACAGGAAATTACACACTGATGGATTTTAACGCCTAGAGACTTCTGTGTATGTGTGTGTGAGTATGTGTGTGTGTGTGTGTGTGTGTGTGTGAGAAAGGGATCTGGTTTTCGGGGTGGAACAACACCCAGAGATTGACTGCAGGGCCACACACACACACACAAACAAACACACACACACACACACACACGGGCGTAATTTCTTTTCAAAATCCCATTTGTGTCCCCCCCACTTTTTAAATGTGTTTATTTATTTATTTTTACGCAAGCGGTCCTCGTCACGGAGGAGCATCTGTGTGTGTGTGGCACAAGCGCATTTTGTGTGAGAGAGATAGAAAGAGAGAGAGACATAGAGAGTTACGGGGGTTGTTGTTAGCATTTGGTGCTAGCTCGGAGCTAACGGAGATTAGTATCTGTTTCAACAATAAGGAGAGGGAGAGCTCTCTCCTGGGGGACTTTGAGAGAGAGAGAGAGAGAGAGAGAGAGAGAGAGAGAGAGAGAGAGAGAGAGAGAGAGAGAGAGAGAGAGAGAGAGAGAGAGAGAGAGAGCAACCAGGTTGGAGAGAGAGAGTGTTAGCATCTGGTGCTAGCTCTGAGCTAACAGAGATTGTAAACTGTCTCAACAGTAAGGAGGGAGAGCTCTCTCCTGGGGAACTGAGAGAGATCACGTCCGCTCAGTGAGCTAAAGGACTCTCTGAGGGATTAGATTGTAAACTTTAGTCTAAGTTATCTCAGTGGCTCTCAAACGCTTTGCTCATCTTTGTAAACTAATATCTCCATCTATTTAATATAGGCCTAGTTGTCACAAACAAGTTAATAAATCATTCCACTGTGTGCTATAGGTCAATAACAAAATAAAAGACACAGTTTGAAAGGGGAGTGATTAGTAACATATGCATCAATAAAAAGAAAGGATGCAGACTAGGTGAGATACAGATAGGAGAGAGGAGGGGATCAAATATGTGTTATTGCTTGTGAGCATACTCTAATGGTTTTTGATGATTGAAATATATACAGTTCTGTTTCATCTGAGTGTTGAGAGCTGTATCCATACATCTCTTCATGTGGCCCTCAAAGTGCACCAGATTGATGCTTTAGCTTTAATTTAAAGATACAAATCTTCCTGGGGAGCATGCCCCCGGACCCCCCTAGAGGATGTGAGGTCATCACAAATAAAACAGGTTCACATGGAGAGGATACTAGATAAGTGTGCACACTCATTATATACACTACACATTTTTCTTGGATTTGTTAACACTATAGTCCCTAATATATTTGTAGAAAGGCAGGAAATGGAATTAAATTGAGAAAATATTTCATTGCGGAGGACCCCCTGTTTTGTGTGTCCCCACTTCTCAAACCAAAGTTACACCCTTGCACACACACACCTACACACTGTACAACACGCACCTACAGCTCCTAAAGCATATCATATATATCAGGATACAGCCGTTGTGTATTTTATTATGTGAAGCACTAAATGGTTTTAGAAAAATATGGACTCTTTGTTTGTAGATATCTACTCAACTAAAGCATATAAATAAAGAAAGTAATGTA